GGAACCTAATTTTTCCCCCTGTTTTAGTTAGAAACGGGGGGGGGTTTTTTAAAGCCCCCAAACCTGGTGGGGTTTCCCCACGAGGGTTTTGGGGGGAAAAGGGGGACCCCCCAAAAAAGGACGGAGGGGTCCCGGTCCCCCCCTTATTTCACCCGAAAAATCCCAGAACCTTTGAGGTTTTGGGGTTTGGGGGGAAACCCGGGGAAAAAAAAAGAGGGTAAAAAACCCCCCTTAAAAAAAGTTTTAAAAAATCCTTATTCCAATTTTTTAACCAACAAAGGGTCTTGGGCACCATGAAAAAAATGGTGCAAAATTTTATTTTTTTAAAGCTTTTTGGGGTGTGAACCCCGTTTTCCCCTTCGTGTTTAAATAAAAAAAAAAATAGTTGTTTTTAACAAAAAAATAAAGCTGTTTTACTGAAATTTTGGGTTTTTTTTTAAAAACCCAAAGTTTGCCCTTCGACTCATAATGGGAAAGACGACGCAACCCCTTTAAAGCAAAAACACGGGGAAAACTCTGTTGCCCGCCCGCTGCGCCCCAACAATTTTCCTGAAACTGGAAACCCTTACAGATAAAAAAAAACTTTTTGGGGCCCTGGAAAATGATGCCCCAAATATTAAAAACCGTTAATACGAGAAAAACAAAACTTTTGTTAACCATTAAAAATTAAAAACCAATCAATTTTTTTTAACCGATAAAACTCAGAAAAAACCCTTTTCCCGGGTTCTGAAATTTTTTTTTTTGTTTGATCTGGTAAGGGGAACGACGAAGCTCGTATTTTTTCCCCGAAATCGCAAAAGATACCGGGGTTTTCCTCGAAACTTTTTAAACCCTTAAACCAGCTGATGGGTTCCACGAGAAAATTTAAGATCCCCCCGGGGGGGGGTTCCCCCCCCCCAGGGGGGAAAAAATTTAGGGTTTATTTTTTTTTAACACTGAACCCGGGTTTTAAAGTGATATTTTTTTAAATATAAATTTTTATTTTTTTATAAAAAAACCCACAAACACCTACTGATCCCTTTTCCCCTTAAATAACGTAAATAACAAAAAGGAAAGATAAATTCCCTGTTTTCTGTCTTGTTTTCAAAAAAGTAACCCTTTTTAAATTTAAACAATCATAAAAATTTAAAAACCCTTTTAAAAAATCAATCCCCCCAAATTATAAAATTAATATACCAAAATAAAAATTAAAAGAAAACCCTGTAAAAAAATTTCAATAACCTTAAAAAAATAAAAAAAATTTAAATATAAACCCATAAAATTTAAATAAAAAAAAAAAAAAAACCCCGTTAAATAATCCAAAAATTAAAAAACCTATTAAAAAAAAATAACTAAAAAACCTTTTTAATTTAATAAATAAAAAAAAAACCCTTTTTAATTTAATAAACCACAGCGAAATTTTCCCCCGGTTTAAAAACGGACTGAGTGGGTGCAGGGCTCCCTAACCTCACTGTTAGTATTTTTAGTTTTTAAACTTTTCTGTTTTCAATTCTTACCGCCCCCCCAAAAACCTTCCCCCCAACGACCACCTGAACCGAAAAAAAATTTCAATAAAAACTCTTTTTACCGTAAAAAATAAAGGCAGGGGGGAAAAAAAAGGGTTAAAGGGGCAGCCCCCCTTAAAGCTGGTAAAAATTTATTGGATAGGGAACAAATTTTAATTTGAGGGGGTCTTTTCAACCCTTTGCAAAAACGAACAATTTAAAGGTGTTTTAAATCTTTAAAGCCCCATTAAAAAAAACAGGATTTGGGAAAGGTGTTTCCCGTGTTTTTTTTTAACAGTTTAAATTCCATACCTTTCTTTATTTTTTTTTTGACACCAATAAAAACCCCTTTTTAGAAATAGAAATGATGACGTGTCCGGCCGTGTCACGTGAAAAACCGGGGTTGAAAAAAGCCCCAAAAAAGCCCATTAGTCAAATAAATGAAGTGCCCCATACAATAACCAGGAACCCGGGAACGGGGGGGGTGCAGGGGTTGCCCCCCGGGGAAAAGAGGAAAGTGTCACATACGTCTAAACCCGGGAGGCTCCATTTACAGAATTTATAATTAAAACCCCTCAAAATTTATATTGCAAAAAAATCGAAAATGATGCAATAAAATTATGTGTTTTTCCCCTTCCCCTTATTCCCCGAGTCTTCTAAACAAAACAGGGAAAAAAGTAAAAAAATTAAGAAAAAAAAAGAAAAAAAATTTGGAACCCACTTTGGGCGGGGGGCCCTGGGAGTCGGGAACAAGGTCCAGGGTGAATTTGCAAAAGGAGGGGGGAAGTTCCGATATTTCGTCTAAATCAGGGGGTAAAACCTAAAAATTGGGTTTCCCATTGATTTTAGATCCCGGATTTAAATGGTTCTTTTAAAATTTTAAAAATTTTGGAAAAAGATTTTTTAAAAAAAATTTATTTGGTGTAAAGGGGAACCACCAAAAACCGGACCCAGGGCCCAAAAGGGAAACGCGGAAATTACGGAATCGCAAAATTTTTTCCCCCTTAATTTCCGAAAAATTTTTTTTAAAGTATGGGGTTTAAAATAGGCGAAAAAAATTCCCGGTTCCAATTTTTCCCAAAAAAAATCGCAAAAATTCCTTTTGTCCCCGAATGTTTTCCCCCGTAAAATCAGCTTGTTGCTTACCTCCCGAAGTTTTTGAGTCCCCTCAAAAAACCATAACACCCGGAAAAGAAGACATAGATTATCACAATTTCTCAATGTTTTCTTTTATCGCTTCTTGAAACCAGCGTTCCGGAAAAAACAAAACAAATTTTTTTTTTGGAAATTTGAGAAATATTTTTAAAAGCGTAATTAAAAAAACAAAGTTATTGCCCAAACTAAAAGTTTCAGGGGAAATTGGGGGGAACCCAACTTTGTTTATTTTGTTACGATTAATTAAAAAAGCCCCTATTTTTTAAGTAGTTTTCCCTTTCCCCGAACACGAGAAACAAACCCTTACGCGGGGAAATCTAAGGATATTACACTCTTTTTAAAGGGGTTTTTCCACTACAACTCTCCACCTCAATAAAAACTTTGTTGTAATTCTGGGGAGTTTTGTAATAATTGCAGGTGAAATTTAAAATCGTATTTTTAAAAACGTTTTTTAAAAACGATTTTTGAAACATTTTTACTTTTGTTGGAAAACCCCTTTGGGAATTAGGGAAAAAAACTATACACAAAGGAAGGCGGGGCTTAAACATTTGTTGTGTAGTGTACCCTTTATAAAAACTTTTTTAAATCGGGTCTTTTAAAACTTTTTAATTAACTTTGAAAAAGGCCTGCATTTTTAAAAAAGGGGGTTTTTAAACTTTTTTTGGGACCCTTTTCCCCAAGGGTCTATTGTTATATGATCAAAAGCGATTCTTTTCAAATTCTTGTTGGGCAACACTGGATTCGTTTACAAAAAAAACGTAAAGTTTGATAGGGAATTAAACTTTCTTTTACCCAAATTTTTTTGTGTTTCCCATTTCCGGTTTCAGGGTTTTTCTTAATTTAAAAACCAACCATTTTTAAATTTTTTTTCAATTTTTCCTTTTCCCCATTTTAAGGGGATTTTTTCCCCTTTTAAATTTACATCCAATTACCTTTTCAATTTGGTTTTTAAAGAAAAGAAATTTGGGTGAAGTACATATTACAAAAGTAAATTAAATTTGACATAAAATAAAGAAAACAAAAAGCGGATAAAATCCCGGTTGTTTTACCCCTTTAACTTCCCCTTTTACCCCCCATCCTTGAACCCTTTTTTCGAGACGGAGCGGGTTAATTTTTTAATTATCCCAATTAATTTAAAACCCTTCGGGGGGGATAAATTCCCCAAACTTTGATTTTGCGGGTTTTTCCACGGTGGTTTTTTTTTCGTTTTTAAAACCCCAAAATAAAAAAATTTTTCCAAAAAAACAAAAATCAAAAAAATTTGGAAACTTTTTTAAATTACATAATAAAAGAGGGAAAGCACCCCCTTTTTTTTCCAAATTTTAAGGGGGGAAATTTTTCAACAAAAGGGAACCGAAAGTTTAAATTAAAGGGAAAGTTTAAATTAAAAAATTTCCCCAAATTGGTTTTTAAATTTTGACTTTAAAAAACACTTACAAAATTTTCCCGTTTGGGTTTTAAATTTAAAATTTTGGGTTTAAAAAAAAAAGGGTTTTTGGGGGGAGTGGAAAAAACGGTAAGGGAATTTTTCCTTACCTGAAAGGCTGATCCTTAATAGGAAAAAAAAAAACAGCTTTCGGTTTAAATTAAATGGGTTTAAAAAATAAAATACTTAAATTTGGGGGGGGTTGAAAACCCCCAATAAACCCTTTTGGAATTAAAAGAAAAGGGTTTTTTTTAACAAACCTTGGCAAAATTTAATTTGGGACAAACTTAGAAATTTTTCACACTTAAATTTTAAAAAGGGGGCCTATTTTTTAAAAACAAAAGGCCCCAATACAAACCCAAACGGGTTTCCCCTTTTGGAAAATTTGGAAAGGGGCATTTTTTTCCCCTTCGAAAAGAGGCAAAAAAGGGGGGTTGGGGGGATAAATTGAAAGAAAAAAAAAACTAATTAAAAAATTTTACAAAAACCGGGAAACCCCTTTTTTACCGGACCCTGCAATTATCCCAAAATTTTTGTTCAAGGGAATTTACAAGATGTGTTTGAGGAAGGCCAAAAAACCGAAAAACTTTTTTAAATTTAAACAAAGGAAAGAAATTTCCGAAAAATTGAATTTTTTTATTGGGAAAATTGTTGATGGTCCTAACTTACATCTAGTACCATATAATGCTTCTAGCCAGTAGATTGATAGTTAGTACATATCTTATTGTAATTCAAACGTGACATAAAATAGATAGTTCAAGCGGATACTGCTGCCTTACCGGCGCCCGACTGGCAGCGGTATCCTCTCGAACTACCATGATATGATAAAACCTTCGCACGTGATAATGACCAAACATGTGAGGTTATTTGCGCGGTTTACAGTACAAGCAGTTTTCGTAATTTAAACTCTAAAAATCGAACTCTTTTATAGCATAATTGAAGATGGGAAGCAGCCCCTCCAATTCGAGTGGGATAAACAGAGCGAAAGGTTATGAATGGAGTGGAAAGATAAAGTAAGAATTTGTGCGCATTGGCTGTCCACTTGTGTCCACATTTCCAAAACTCATTATAGATTACATGTCTGATCTGGTTTAAATTATTTAGTTTTGCATCTTATGTATCAATATAATATGTGGATTCTGGTGGGGAGTAGAACGTGTCAGGAGTTTCACCTCCCCACCAGAATCCAGATCTATAGAACATAAATAATGCATCGTTTCAGGTTTATATGTTACCTTGACTTAGATGACGAAGACCAAGTACATATTGCGTTGAAACACATAAACAACGATGATATAAGCAGTGTGTCTATTTACACCACACCTCTGAGCGAACATCAATGGTCACACTTGACATTTTACCATGCCTATGTAGTATTGAGCACGCGGACAGATACAGAAACATACTGGTGGTCTCTCGAGAAGAATGGAGAGGCATTGATTGTTCAGATGAGCAGAAATATTGAAGATGTGAGAGATAAAATTGAGGGAAAAAGGCGCATTGAGAAGTACCCTAACTACTGGAAACCCTTACTTAACACTAGCGACTCCAGCTGTATTAGCTTCAGGGCATTGTACGAGTATATAATAGTGGACACAGACCAATTGAATTTGAAATATAATTACTCAGATGGGAATTGTAAGAAATTTGCAAAGACTGTTTTTGACAAGATCGCCCGAAACAAAACCTGGTACTATTTTATTTGACTGATTCAACATCATAATCTAGCTTTTGTTTAAAAACACCCATCGATTTCACTAACATATTATGAATGTTACAGATGAACGATTTTATACCATGAATATTGTACAACATATTTTCTTAAAGAGTTGGTACGACAATTCCCCGTTTAATTTTTTAATTCAAAACCATTATATATTGACAGTAACACAATATTTACAGTGACACAATCTTTTGTAATATTACGAACATTATTTTTATTCGTTAATTTGCAGAATTATTTTGTAATGCACATCACGTGTACCAGACACGTGTACCCTACTTATTATAATACCGTTGTCACGATCATGTTATTGGTGATCTTATACCTTCTTAATTAACTGTAAAGTGTAAATGCTTCTAAACATCACAATAGCTTACCTGTTGCTGATTGTAGAATATCTCATCAGTTAGTATATTGTCCCATTTCCTTTTTTAATTAACATATAATTAGCCAATTAGAAACCTAGAGACCTACCACACTTGAACACACTTAACGGGTATAGTGTTTACCTTATAGCATAATGTAACATCAGCCATACATTACACATTACCCACATAAGGTGTACAAGTCACACGCAACACGCTGTAAAGATGTTTTGGATATGGCTCCTTGCTCCTTGCTCCTTGCTCCTTGCTCCTTGCTCTATTTCACAACAAACCCTCCATGATGGTAAGTTATTGATCACACTTACATACTACCCTCCTTGAAAGTAAAGATGTACCTCCACGTGACATGTGCCATGGAAATACGAGTTTAAAACATTCGATGATGCTAGTTATTTTCCACTATACAGTGGTAGTTATTACCAGGCAACACTACACCACACTGTACAGTCATGAAAAGTTATCAATATCAATTATATTGTTATTTAGAGCTTTTAGTTGATAAAAACGCACATTATTCAATTAACATTATAGCCCATGTTGCTATGTATAGCTGGGTGTTGAATGAGCTAGTAGTAACAGGCCCCATGAGATGTACTACAATACCACACACAGTGTGACACACAGAATATAGTGAGCTATTGAGGTCACCTAAATCACTCTTACTCGCTTTGCCGTTTAGTTGCGCTCTCTCTCTCTCTCTCTCTCTCTCTCTCTCTCTCTCTCTCTCTCTCTCTCTCTCTCTCTCTCTCTCTCTCTCTCTCTCTCTCTCTCTCTCTCTCTCTCTCTCTCTCTCTCTCTCTCTCTCTCTCTCTCTCTCTCTCACGCTTTTTATTTAATGCCATAGTTTATTACGCCAACTCGATTTTAAGTAGTTGTTGAATTTGAATTTTACTAATAAAGTTGTAATATGCTATATTATATATACTAGGAGTATTACATTAATTGTAGAGGACGCAGTTGTAAGATTGTTGCTATCTCGAATCTAATAGTATTAATCATGTAGAGAAGGGAAGTAGAGAACTAAATATTTCAACTGCTTACTAGAACTAAGGGGGATGGGAAGCTCCTTCAGTAGTGGCGTATCAAGAACAAACTTAAAATCAAATGGAATACACTGGCAAGGCAACGTCAGGTAACTGTTTCAATTGAAAATCTCAAGATTACAAACTCACAATTTTCAAAACATACTGATAATGTAATGATTTAGTTTCACACATCGAAAACTTAATGCTTACCGTTTATTCTATAATATTTCTTATAAATATTTTATAGCTCAATAAAAGGTTCTCTATAATTTCAGCACACCATCGGGGACGAACAACAGATCACAGGGTATTGAGTGGCAACGCCACATAAGGTGGGGCATCAACAGTTCATAGTTGAACTGTTCAAGCCAACCGTTAACATGTAGAGCAAATCATTCTAATTACGTGGGAGGCAACCACTAAAATAGGATAGTTGTTGAAATTATGACCACTATACGTCAAATTGTGGTTGATGGCGAATATTTGTTGTTTAAATCAGTCAGCATTATTGAAAAGGAGCTTCAAAGAGCTGCTGCTTGTGGAATATTATATTGATCCGTTCATTATTATCACCTGGTGAGGAAATTTTATATTTTATCTTTCAGATACTACAGCTACGCTAGCACAGGAAATTTGGACTTAGACATATCCGATCTTCAAAAACACATCAATCAAGACAGATTCGAAATGCTGTACCTCTACAAAACTCCACTCAGCGAATACCAATGGACAAACACTATATTCTTCCATGTTTACGTGATATTTTATACAAATACCCCGGAAGGTGGGTTCTGGTGGTCTCTGGAGAAAACAGGACAATCCCTCATCCTACAGATGAGTAGAGATATCGAGGATGTAAAAGATAGGCTGGAGGGAGGGAGGCGAGTCAGTGAAGGCAGCTCTTGGTACTGGGAACCGCAGTTTATTATTCGTGATTCGTCGTGGGAGACATTTGAAACTTTGTACAAGTTCATTATAGTGGACAAAGATCAGCTGAACATCAGATATAACTTTGCAGAGGAAAACTGTAAGAACTTTGCGAAGATAGTGTTTGATAGGATTGCAACGAATAAAAACTGGAACTACATAATCTGATGATCGTTTCTTACTTCAACAAACAGTGCAACTTCACACAAATCGATAATTTCTCAAAAGATATATCTTGCAGTGTGTTTTGGTCCGGGCCTTGCTTGCTGGTCCAGTGGCCCTGCCATGGCTCTCTAGCTTGGGCAGGTTAGACTTATATATATATATAAATAACACCGACTTTTAATGTGTATGAGTACAGCAACGAAATATATATATATAATACACATGTATGTTGCAGTTAGCACTTGCCTGGTTAAGCTCGTTTCTGATAAGTGCCAGCACATCGTCAGCCCCGCTACTCTCGCTGCTGGTCCGCTTAACTTGAGAGCTGCTGACTGAAGAAGTTTTAGAGTATGATGTCTTGTGACTGGATCCTGAGTTCTTGTTGGATCCTGTTTCCTCTGGGGAAACCTGAGAGATTAGTTTCAGTGTTAGTGAGAATTTTAGGACAGCTATGTGTAATGTGTCGCTTAGGAGCGTTTTTAAAGAGATTTAATAAATTGGAAGTTAAAGCTTAATAATATCGGCGATGCAATTGATTAAAATTAATTATAAATGACATTTTAAACCTTGTTAGAGTCATTAAAACTGCTGGTTTCAGATTCTTTCTGCCTTTGCTGTTCAACTTTTGATAACTGAAACAGAATTCTTTTTGGATACTTCGGACTGGACTAAGATTTAACTGTGATGCTACCTACTAAACACGTCAGATAGATCCCTTACCGTCATAAAGTATTAACTACAAAGTGTAATGTAAGATACTCAAATCAAAATTTCCACGTGTTTGGTACCTTCTCGTGAATGCTTTCAACCAGTTCATCGTCAGTGAAATCCAAACTTTTCTGGGACATGCTGATGAGCTTAGCACTGCGAAGTGAGGAAGAGGACTTCTTCTGGCTGATCTTTGATGTGTCATCGCTGTGAATGTTAGGACTGTTGGTGTGGGGACTAAAGATATAGCTATGGGAAGATAACAGTGGGCATAAACAAATTGAACGGCTGTTATAAGATATTCGGTAAGAGGAAGGACTGGTGGATGTACAAGTTACAAAACGTCTGCCTCAAAGTGTCACTCGAGCAGTATGACGAGGGATGAGAAATTATACTGCAATTCAGATGAGAGCATATTCAACATGCTATATTTTATTATTTCTCTCTAGTGACACTTTATGACTTTATCGTTATCTTCTCTCAAATATTATCACTTTCTGTGTCAGTATGAAGCAGGGTTGGGTTGAGTGACATTTTGTGGTTTTCAAAGCACATCAAAATGTCACTCAAGTGGTTTCTTATCTTTTTAGGATATTGGTGACGGATGTATCTGCTTCAAAATAACTGATGTGACATTTGGTCGAAGAGAAAATCCAGGAGCTTTCATCTGGCATAAAATTGAAATTTTTGTTTAACTGATCAAATTATCACCATAAAAAGAAAGGTAGCATATGACGAAATCCCAAATATTCAAACCTTACGGTTAAATTATCACTTTCTCTCCAGGTTACATTTTGAGTGACACTTTTATATTATATATTATTTTGGGCTCACAAGTAACAAATCTTACCTATTAATTGAATCTATGCTGAATGAGAGCCTGCTAAATAAACTGTTGGACTCGGATGATTCTTTAATCTCTTCGCTGAAAGTTGAGTTTTGTATCAGCAAATAAGTGTTGATCATCAATAACAGCTTACTTAAAACCTGCTCCTATTTTTGGCTATTTCATCGCCTCTGATATATTATATATTTTATAGGTCAATCAATGCTGGAATCTGAATTTTTAATCGAATCAGATATAAATTCTAATGCTTATCTTATTTTTTGGAGTCCTTCAATGCATATAGAATTGAAGTTTGAACATACGCCAAAAATCGCAAATTTGAAGTAGTCTTATATGATAAGCTGTTATTGATATATGGTGAATGAATATTTTTGGATATGAACATAGTCTATCTTAAAATTAAATTTAGTATCTATACTACTACTGTATTCGATAAAACATAAATTTACAGCAATATAATAACATATTATACACTAATTTACCTTGGATAGATACAGTAATACAGTAAAGGAGTGAACTCCGAGCAGCAGCCACACTAATAACAGCCAAGCTGCGAACATTGAGCAACATTCAATAACAGAGGACACTACTATAGGTGTTGCAGCTTCGTTCTGAGAAACCGTCTCTAACCAATGAGAGACCGAGTTTAAATTAGTTCTTTATATAATGACAAACAGCATCGTATCAGGTATTGGACATCTATTTATAAATTTACAAAGTGCACCGTTCATTTTTAGCTATAGAAATTAAGCCAAATTCTGGAATTAATTTGTCGTTTCTTTCAATAATAAATGGTCTGATAAAACGTAAAAATAGCATTATATTTCTACAGCTTGTTTTCCAGCAATCTCGGGAGTGAAATCATTAAAATGTTAACAACCAACAGGGTGACCCAGAATTAGCTACATTTGTAATATGTGATCTATCTTAAGAGTGTGGGATGTTAACTGTTTTTGTAAAGACTCTAAGAAGTCGACATGTTTGTTTAATTCTGGGTGACCCTGTAGTTGAAGAAAACTTACTCCTCATACTTTGGCACAGATAAACTGGAAAGTGCTATTTGTGGGGCCATACCATCTCGACAGTCAGACTGAAAATAAGTCTATTGAAAAATAATAATGAAACAATTAAAGTGCCAACATAAGATCAAGAGTATGACAGCGATTGTGAATTAAAATTGACCAAATATATGGGAGTATAAGACTCACCTCCCTACAGACACTAATGTACATGTCAGGAGTATAAGACTCACCTCCCTACAGACACTAAGGTACATGTCAGGAGTATAAGACTCACCTCCCTACAGACACTAAGGTACATGTCAGGAGTATAAGACTCACCTCCCTACAGACACTAAGGTACATGTCAGGAGTATAAGACTCACCTCCCTACAGACACTAATGTACATGTCAGGAGTATAAGACTCACCTCCCTACAGACACTAAGGTACATGTCAGGAGTATAAGACTCACCTCCCTACAGACACTAAGGTACATGTCAGGAGTATAAGACTCACCTCCCTACAGACACTAAGGTACATGTCAGGAGTATAAGACTCACCTCCCTACAGACACTAAGGTACATGTCAGGAGTATAAGACTCACCTCCCTACAGACACTAAGGTACATGTCAGGAGTATAAGACTCACCTCCCTACAGACACTAAGGTACATGTCAGGAGTATAAGACTCACCTCCCTACAGACACTAAGGTACATGTCAGGAGTATAAGACTCACCTCCCTACAGACACTAAGGTACATGTCAGGAGTATAAGACTCACCTCCCTACAGACACTAAGGTACATGTCAGGAGTATAAGACTCACCTCCCTACAGACACTAAGGTACATGTCAGGAGTATAAGACTCACCTCCCTACAGACACTAAGGTACATGTCAGGAGTATAAGACTCACCTCCCTACAGACACTAAGGTACATGTCAGGAGTATAAGACTCACCTTCCTACAGACACTAAGGTACATGTCAGGAGTATAAGACTCACCTCCCTACAGACACTAAGGTACATGTCAGGAGTATAAGACTCACCTCCCTACAAACACTAAGGTACATGTCAGGAGTATAAGACTCACCTCCCTACAGACACTAAGGTACATGTCAGGAGTATAAGACTCACCTCCCTACAGACACTAAGGTACATGTCAGGAGTATAAGACTCACCTCCTTACAAACACTAAGGTACATGTCAGGAGTATAAGACTCACCTCCCTACAGACACTAAGGTACATGTCAGGAGTATAAGACTCACCTCCCTACAGACACTAATGTACATGTCAGGAGTATAAGACTCACCTCCCTACAGACACTAAGGTACATGTCAGGAGTATAAGACTCACCTCCCTACAGACACTAAGGTACATGTCAGGAGTTCCAACACTGCGAGAAGTGGAGAATCCCTCGGTGAGCTGTTGAGTGCTGGCCTCGCCCCTACTGGCAGAACAGTGCTGAGGACAACTGTCTCCACGGGCACTTACATGGTGGTGATCACCATGGCTGGGAATCAGGCCTGTATCATAAGGATACCACAGTCCTGTCCGCTTCAGAAACTCTCGCTTTTTCACGCAGAACACGCAAAGAAATACTTTCTGAAATTCAACTGGTTGCTTCTAAAATTAATTTAACAGAGCTCAATTCCTACTTGATGCATAGCTAATATGTAATCAATTTGCATTTTAAAGAATAACATCTTGTCAACTTTCTAAATCATGTGTCCTGTAATTTACTAAATCAATTAACCCAATAATTTACCTTTGGCCAATTGACTGAGTATGTATACCAGAACAAACCACAAAGAGGATAGCATATTTTATTGAGACAATCGTAGCAGGCTTGTAAGCCGATATCCTGATGATTTAAATATGGATTGATAAAGCATATTTGAATAAGTTTGATCTATAATCATATGAAACCATTGTTTAACTTATTTCAGTTTTCAACTTCTTTCAGCATCAGTCATGCTTTAATATTCTGATATACTAATTGAGCCATAATTTAATTTTTGGTAATAAGATAAGCTTACTGTGGTTGCTGTCTGACCAATGGGTTTAAAGCTTTTGCAGTCAGCGCACAACTTAGCAAAGTCACTTTTGGTGTCTAAAATTTGCTTGTATAGACAAAGTTCTCTGTACAACCTTCTGAAAATAGGTGGTAATGATACTAAAAGGTGCAAAAATGCTTTTATAAAAGGGGAATGAGATTAATACCGAATATTATGTATTGAATTTTGAAAAGAATCAAAAATTTTGATCCTATGTAATATAATAATCTCTCTTACATCAGTTGAACTTCCTCCAGTGACAAGTCCATGAACAAAAAGTTTTCTTTGGGGGATTTGTAAAGTATCAATTTTCATTTTCATATCTCCTCAGATTATGTGTAAACAACATGTTGAAGCACAAGTCGAGCAGCATTACTGACATAGCATCCTGTACACCTGACTGGAAATTAAAATATGAATTGGGCAGTATCCAGTTCGCGAACAGTTGTTTGCGAACACGTGTCCGGCTATCTGGATACTGC